TGCTTTACCTATTAAACTGTCTTTGTCTCAATCCATGAGTTTTCTCACTTTTAACTCTTCTGATTCTCTCCCCATCCCGCTTGTGGGGGAGTGGGCGAACGGCTTGGTGGGACTTGGTTGCTGGCTGGAGTTAACCCATGACAATGGGACGTGCTCAGCCACCAGCCTAGATTCTCCTCTGGACTTTTACCCTGAGCTCACCCTGAAATAAACACACCTGGAGGAGATCTGACTCATGTAATCTTTTGAAAATTTAACCTATTGACTCATTCCTATTGTAAAGTCAGTCGGGGGAAAGAGCATCTTGTATTTCAAACATAAAATCCTCCTCTCCTCCTCAGTAGAGGACATATGAAAAATAAAGCAGTTCAGAATTGGATCTTGGCAGTTCAAGAGCGCCTACTGTTTTCTTGTGACTCTGGCAATTGCTTTCCGAGGAAACCTTTGCAATACAAGAGAATACAAACTAATTTACCATTTCTGAATTGCGTAAGATTAGCTTTTTTACCGAAAGAAACCGGTGTTTATTAACAGAGCTCAACTGCTATGCACTGTATCGAGACTAGTAAATATGAGATATGATACCAGTGATTACCTGAATGTATGTGGGTGCTTAGCACAAGTGCTGAGTGACTGGTGGAAAACTTGATTTGCTGAGCAAATGGCTTGAAAAAATTAAACAACTGGGGATTATTTCTCATGCCTTCATACACGTATGTAGAAATGCAAGTAAAAATTGTGACCTTGTAAAGAAGATGCATTTTGTGGATTTGACCACAGCTATGGAGTAGTTTTAAAAGATTGTCACGAAACTGCCCCTTCCCTGCTGAAATAAACTTCTTGTCACTGAACCAAATAATCCTGACTTTCACAGGCTACTCATAGCCAGGTTTGGTTTTACGTCCCTGAATAACAACCTTCCTTGCTTTTCTTCTAAAGGTTGCCAGTTTTCTTTTATAGCATTGTACTCAAGATGTGGTTGTAAATTTGAATTCCAAGCCATTTGCTCCAACTGTCTTTTTAACATTAACAAAAGAGTAGCAAGGAGACAAACAAAATAAAAGAAACAAACAGAACAAGCAATGCAAAGTAAAAGAACTCTAATGAAAGCAGTAACTTACTGTAGCTACTTTCACTATCGCTGGCATTAGAAGAAACATGTTCTGCAAGAACAGTACAGCAAATTAAAGAACATAACCAAGCACCACAGAGCTGCAGAAACGTAAAAGAACTGCCACAGTCATGCAAAGGTAGTTGTGCTAAGAGGAAATAAAAACTATGCAGTGACATCACCTGAAAACTCTCCGATAATTTACATGGGTAAAATGAAAGCTTTGTCTCTTGTGGCACTTCAGAAAGAGACTATACGTATTAGCTAGTGATACATATCATGGCAAAGCCATGCCTTTTCTGTATGAGACAGTTAATGACATCTCAGATAACTTAATTTCGCAGTACATTATGGTCCATTTGCATGTCACTGGACATCTTCACTCATTTCATGAAACCTGAGTGTCTGCTCATATTGTTCTGCACTATCAGTAACGTGCATCCTTAATGCATTGGAACTATTCCTGCTAAACTTCTAACCTGTGTCCACTTTTAATCACTGTGCACTATCCCAAAGGGTTAATAAATTAACGTGAAAATGGTTTTGATATCAAATATTGTAACCATGCAAAAAAGAAGACAAAGCCAATGATAAAACTAAGAAAAAAATGGAAGAAATCTTTTTTTCAGACATTGTCTAGCCTCAGGATTTAATCTAGAGTATGAAAACCTTTACCAGACCAGACTGGATGGGTGAACAGGGATATGGAAACTATTGGGAGGGGCAGACTTGTGGTTTGACAAGTCTGATGTCCTATTACTAATATTACATTTTTTAAAGAAAGTTGCAATCTATATCATGTGAAGTGGCTGTTCCCAAACTGTAGTCAGCAGACTGTTCATGGTCATTCAGACTGCACTATATGGTCTCCAGGGGGTCTGCAGAACCACATTTAATGGTGGTTTTAATGGTATCCCTGGTAGAAATGCTGATTACTTTGCATTTGAAAGATCATTTGACAGTTGAAACTTTTCAGCTGGTCCAGGGCATTTTGAAGCCAATGGTATAATTGCTATATAGTGAGAAGCCACCCTGGGTTAATGAGGATGAGACGCAGTGGTAAAATGGACAATGTGTACAAATAAGCCACTTCCTGACAAATACCAGGAGCCAAAATTTTTCACTAAACCAGTGGACAGATTAGGCTGTGGGTGACCCACAACACCCACCTGCAACTGAACTCTGGATGTTCCCTGTGAAAGAAAGAAGGAATTCATAAAAGCCAATAATCGCCTGGGATGAACCCAGAGTAGGCAATGCATGGATGTAATGAAAAATGAGCATGAGAACAGTGCCAAGACCACTCGTTCTCTGCAAGGTGCTGCATTTCTCCCACATACACATCTAATGCTTGGGATTCATAGAGTGAGACTGTTGGGGTTGCTGGAGCAGCAGAAATGAGAGGGAATGATATCTGAGAAAAATAATAATGGAAAACTTTGATCTTAGGCTTAGTAAGATGCTCAAAAAAATTAAATTTACATTTTGAATAAAACAATATATTGACTTTCAAACATTCAATAGCAATTAACTTGCTGGGACCATTTCAAACTAATATCCTATACAGGACTCTGAAGGTCTTTATTAAACAAGAACAAATATCCTTCATAGTGAGAATCATTATTAAAAAGCCTAATTGACTTTAATAATAGTGAAATTTGGATGGGTAGGAATGTCGAGAGGTGTGTCAGTAATTGAAAGCTAGGTGCAATATTAATGGAGACACTAGAGCCTATATAATATCTCTGTGCTACTTTTCCCTTAGCAATTTGCAGAATTCAGCTACCTCCTTTCAAATTGTTGTATGTTATGGAGATTTGTCTTTGTAAGGACACAGATATTCAGGAGGGTTAGGAGATCAGAAGTATTCTACTTCTATTTAGGCAGGGAAGGATCTGCATTTGTGGTTAATGAGCTGCTACGACACAAAGTAGCAGAACGGTTAAAATTCAGGTGGTGGCGACTTTTGCTATCACTGACAAAACTAGTCTTGCAGAACCGTTTTTCTTTGTACAAGAGATGAAGCTTTCATGTCCCTTCAACAAATCAATCA